GTGCTTGGTGGTCCCAGATTCAACTCCTCCACGCTTGTAAATAGCCAACTGGTCAGCCTCCCGCCAGTTGGGATTTTTAACAAGATTCTGTTTAATTTACAATATCTGTTTGCTTATTTCGGTGTCCACAATAAGTACAGCAGTACTAAACACTTCGACACTTAAACTGAAAGTGATTTATTTAACAACTGGATACCATGTCTAAAAATTAAAATGAATTACCTTGGATATAAGGCTTATATGGGGGATTCACTTTCTTACCTCGATCTCCTCTTGATTTATTCTAATTCTGGACATCAGGGGGTACTTAAGTTGACTAACCGAGTAACTCATACCCTTCTGTCTTAATTCTTCAGTTCTGCCTAACTGTGGCCATCCGGGTTACCAAAGGAACGCAGTGCTTGTACTGAGCAGCTACTGGGCAGGAGAGTACGTCAGATACCTCTGTAATCCGGGGTATACTATGCTTGGTCCTTCAGTCAGAAGATGCTTGCCCAGCGGTAGCTGGAGCGGAAATGCAGTACAGTGTAAGAATTTGATACAATAAGAAACATTTTTGAACAAGATGGTAAAAATAAGTTAGTTGACGTTTGACGTCACACAGTTGTGCTGTTCACGTTTTGATGATTAAAAAACTGACTATTAGTTTCTTGTCTAAATCTATTTGCCTCACTCCTTCAGTATTTATTTATTTTTTGATGTTTTTGATTTGCCATAAAAACAAAAATAGAATTACAGTACAATGATTAATAAATTACAAAAAATAATATACAAGATTACAAGTATATGTTTTTTAAAACAAAAAAGTTTTTTCCTAAAAGATGGCAGTGATGAAGAACCAGTAAGCTGAGATTTCCGGAGGGTTTTATTGCCAATTACACAAAAATATTCAAATCAAGTGTATCGATTTATAGAAACACGGGNGATTTCCGGAGGGTTTTATTGCCAATTACACAAAAATATTCAAATCAAGTGTATCGATGTATAGAAACACGGGTAGAGGTTGTAAGAACACAAGCTTTAGATAAATGTTTCCAAAGCTTTTTTCAAGTTGTCTGACACTTTGAGAAGTATGTCCATCGTACGATGGAACAACCAAATATATTACTACCATAGAAGAGAAAAGAAAGCACTGAAGTAACAAAGCACTAAGAGCATAGTCTGCATATATATGGGTCGGACAATTCCTGAAAAAATGAATGCTTGAGCGAATTTCATACAATTTGGTTGTTTGAATTCATGGCCCAATTTAACCCTTTATAATATTTTTCAGGTACCGATATACCGGAATGTTTCAATCACATGGTGATAGATGATGATTCACGACGAGTGAGCTCTACATATACTTACGACAGATGTGACATAGATCTTGCTGAGGGTTGGTACAGGTTCATAAACGGAAGACGCATGAACGAACGGTGTGCTAATTAC